TCAGGGGGTTTCCACCCACACATTGCATTGCTGGTCCTATCTTTACAGCCTTCATTGTGGATATGTATTTCCTCTCGCATTCCTGGATTTGGAGTCACTAAGGATTTAATGGCTTATGGCAGATACACCTTAGAAAACAAACCTCACTTTTCTAGACTTCTTGGTCTACATGTAAAGCCAACAGTCAGATACACTATATTGCCAAAAGTATTGGGACACCCCTCCAAATCATTGGATTCAGGTGCTCTGTGAAATTCCCTTGCTACTAAATATTCCACGGTCAACTGTCAGAGGTATTATAACAAAGTGGAAGCAACTGGGAACAACAGCAACTCAGCCATGAAGTGGTAGGTCACATAAAATGACAGAGCGGGGTCAGCGCATGCTGAATCGCACAGTGCGCATAAGTTGCCAACTGTCTGCAGAGTCAATGGCTACAGACCTCCAAACTTCGTGTGACCTTCAGATTGGCACAACAACAGTGCGTAGAGAGCTTCCTGGAATGGGTTTCCATGGCCGAGCAGCTGCATCCAAGCCTTACATCACCAAGTGCAATACAAAGTGTCGGATGCAGTGGTGTAAAGCACGCCGCCATTGGACTCTAGAGAAGTGGAGACGTGTTCTCTGGAGTGATGAATCCCGCTTCTCTGTCTGGCAACCCGATGGACGTGTCTGGGTTTGGTGGTTTCCAGGAGAACGGTACTTGCCTGACTGCATTGTACCAAGTGTAAAGTTTGGTGGAGGGGGGATTATGGTTTGGGGTTGTTTTTCAGGGGCTGGACTTGGCCCCTTAGTTCCAGTGAAGGGAACTCTTAAGGCATCAGCATAGCAAGACATTTTGAACAATTTTATGCTCCCTAACTTTGTGAGAACTGTTCCAACAAAACTGCCCACCAGTGCACAAAGAAAGGTCCATAATGACATGGATGAGCGAGTTTGGGGTGGAGAAAGTTGACTGACCTAAACCCGATAGAACACCTTTGGGATGAATTAGAGCGGAGACTACGAGCCCAAACTTCTCGTCCAACATCAGTACCTGACCTCACAAATGCGCTTTTTGAAGAATGGTCAAACATTCCCATAGGCGCACTTCTAAACCTTGTGGACGCCTTCCCAGAAGAGTTGAAGCTGTTATACCTGCAAAGGGTGGGCCAACTCAATATTGAACCCTATGGACTAAGACTGGGATGACATTAAAGTTCATGTGCGTATAAAGGCAGGTGTCCCAATACTTTTGGTAATATAGTGTACTTCAGAGAAACCCATCAAATGACTTGGAGGTTGCAGAATGTTTTCTCCATCTTAGATTATACATTTGATTTAGATTGTGTACCTTTTTTAAATAAGAAATACAATATCCCCTCTTAAAACAGAAGATGTTTCTCCAGCAAAAAAACAAGACTGTGACAGATTGTACATATTCTGAATGACCCTGGTTTATTTTTTGGGAGTTCCTGTCGATTACAGATTACAACGTACCTTTTTGTAGGTTATGGAGTCATGCGTGTTCCCTGGACTACAAGTTCATCTCCCCAGTGTGCATTATAGACCATCGCTACCATCTGGACTTGTGTTGCGGAACCCTTTTGATAATTTTATTAAAATAATGTAATCTTACCTAGGGGAGGTGGGATCTGTGAGCTATAAAATAAGTGCTGTTGCTTAAAAAAGTGTTCATACGTTTGCTCCCCTACACTGTGTCCCGACCAGAGACTGGGTGAATGTATGCGGCTGAGCGAGACTGTGGTGATACAGTGTCACAACAGGGTACAGGGAATGCTCAGTGACTGTGTGTATGAATTATGTCAATTATGTTAAATCCATTGAGCCAAGGAGGAGTAATAGAACATCTGTCAGGTTTTTACTGCTATTTGCGGCTCCATTAGAGATTTACCTTTACTTCCGGTCCTGCTGACAGCGTTTATTCAGACAGGAAAGCCATTTTCTAAAATTAACTCAGATTATCAGATTATTTTTGTGTCCCTGTTGCAGATTTTACTTTACTTTCTGGTGAAACCATTGTCAGCAGGACAATGGAAGTGAAGGTAAATCATTCTAATGGAGTCTCGGATGGTAGTGAGAACCAGATGGGGGAGTTCTGACGTTACCAACGCTATCCAAAACAAAAACAAAAACATTTTTGGCTTGACATACACTGTCAGCTGTATCTCTGCTCTATATCATGTAGTCCTCGCCTGCCTGTCCAGCAAACACTGCCATATTCAGAAAGAACACGCATTATAGGTCTATTTTATATACAAGATTATGTTGCTAGAGTGCTTTTACTTTGTCTTGAGATTTGAACTAAACCTAATAATTTGATATTTTCTTCCTTTCAGGCCAAACTACATTAAAAAAAGGACGGAATTTTGTTGGTCAGGAAGGTGGATACGACAACGTAACTGGCAAATATGGATATATAGTGAATGACTTTGCAAAACAAGTTTTGACAGGTGGCTTAACGAGAGTCTTCCTTCCTTTGGTCTACATCATTGTGTTTGTAGTTGCATTGCCCAGCAATGCCATCGCGTTATGGGTCTTTTTTTTCCGCACTAAGAAGAAGCACCCAGCTGTGATCTATATGGCCAACTTGGCAATAGCCGATCTGCTGTTTGTTATCTGGATTCCACTCAAGATAGCCTATCACCTGAATGGCAACAACTGGATTTATGGGGAAGGCCTATGCAAAGTACTTGTGGGATTTTTCTATGGGAACATGTACTGCTCAATCCTGTTTATCACTTGCCTGAGTGTTCAGCGCTACTGGGTCATTGTAAATCCCATTTCACACACCCGGAAAAAGACTAAAATTGCCTTCATTGTTTCAGTTACGATATGGGTTGTCATTATTCTCAGCACCGTTCCATTGTATATCTATGATCAAACGGTTTACGTCAGCAATGTTAATATCACAACATGCCATGATGTCTTGCCGCTCAGCGTTCTGGCCTCTGACATGTTCAACTACTTCCTCTCTCTCTCCATCGGTCTTTTCTTCTTCCCAGCAATCCTCACCTCAGTGGCTTATGTATTAATGGTCAGAACATTGAATGCTTCCATTACAGATGACAACATTGGTAAAAAGAGGAAGAAAGCCATTGTGCTTATACTTACTGTGCTGGTCATGTGTCTTGTGTGCTTCTTGCCTAGTAACATTCTGTTGCTGGTGAACTATGCCACTATTAGGGAGACCCACGTCGGCAACACCTACGCCTTTTACATTACGGCCCTGTGCCTATCCGCGCTGAACAGCTGCATCGATCCCTTTGTCTACTACTATGTGTCCAAAGACTTCAGGGACAATGTTAAAAACACCTTCCTCTGCAGAAGCGTCAGGACTGTGGAAAGGATGCAGATCTCATTCAGCTCTATGAAGTATTCAAGAAAGAATACATACACCTCCAGCTCCAGTAACACAAAAACCAGTACCTGCTAGGTGCTACTGTATTATAACGTAGAGGCAATGGACCGAAGACTTGTGTCTAGAAGGCTAAGAGAATATATGCCATTTATTTGCTGTGTGAGGATGCTGGTCCTTCCAGCACAGGAAATGTGGACATTTTTGGAAACCTTTCATTTCTAATGTATGAAGTTTTACTTTTATAGTCAGTGTTTAAAAACTGTGTTCTGTGAATATATGTAGCACTGATTTATGTTTCTTTGCAGCCATTTCATTCACTTCCAGTCTCGGTGTCACTTTCTGCATGCTCTGCTGAGGCATTAGCTGTGATGGTGTATGACTTAAAGACAAATTTACAACAGACATTTTCAGTTCCTTATGAAACACAGACCATCTCAAAGTGTCATGTTATATGAGCCCTGAGAGCACTTCCGAGATTCTGTCCTGTGGTTTTCAGCCAGGCAATTTTTATTGCTCCACTATACAAATCCACGGCTTTGTGCTGCCTTTTTTTTTTGCCAGTGGATAGCTCCATGGATTTACCATGGATAATAAAAATAATGTTCCCTCACAATTGTAAATACCCAGTAAAGTAGTATTAAACTATTGAATCCAGATCAAACAAATATACATTGCCCTGCAAAGTATTTATTTTTGCCCAAGTACTTACAGCCATCACGGTTTCAAACAGCTCCAACTCTCAGAACTCGGCTCCCCTGAACTTCCAGTCCATTACAATATCACAAGTGACAACGCAGTCACCAGCAGCAGTCCATCTACAATCTGGAGGGATATGGGGAGTAGCTGCCTTTCTGTGCTTACGTGCTTTGTGGAGACACAAGCGGCTTACTAGCACGCAAAAGGGTGGCTCCATAGAACCCCGCAGAAAAAAGGAGCCACGCTAAAACAGGATATCAGAGCCAGCGCTCGGGATCAGACGATTCTGCAGGAAGCTAACACTTCTAAATGTCAAGGAGCAGCATCCATTGTCAGTGCTTTAATCAGCACTGCAATAACGTAAACCCTTTTGACTTTAATATTCCTTTAAGCAATGCAGAAACTGTAATATATTGAGCACACGTGAATCGTTTGGAGCATGCATTTTACAGAAGAAAATGATAAGAAAAGTGAAGGCGTTCAGTTTAAAGGGAGTCTTCAGTTTTGAGGGTCCCCATCTGCTTCTCACTCTGCAGTTTTAAAAGGAACCTCTCTGGGTAGAAATATTGAATCTGCTATTGTTGACGTATCTCTGAAGGTATAAGCTCCAGGACAGTCATCTTTATCCGTCCTTCAGTATGGATGAGTCAATAATCTGGAATGAGCATATAAAGTATGGCAAATGTTTCTACTGCAGTTTGTTAGGGGAATTGGTGTAGCTATGTAAAGTATAAGCCAGTGAGATTAATGACACATTCTTCTAGTAATAAATGTGAATTTTAGATGTTTTTTATTTGACATGTTGTGCAGTAAGATTTTCAGCACTGTTTTATATATTTTTGTATTTAGCATGCATTTAACCATAAAATGTTATAAAGTACATGTTTGTTTTTGAGTGATTATTGCTATTCATTTTTATTAATGCAGATCGAATGCTGAACATTTAGGCAGAAGCAACACTCGTGGCTGCCTGCATACCTGAGCCATGACTGCATGTGATTGGATGCAGTCACTGCTCAACCAACAATTTTCCACCTGGCTCCTTTGATTTATTTCAGTTGACTTTTTTGTTGAGTTTATAGAGTGTATAGCGGGCTTAAAGTGTTTTTTTTTTTTCACTTTTGCCATTAAATTTGAGACAACCCCTCTATAGGTTTGTTATATGTTCCTATTCAAACATCATACCTAAAAAAAAAAAACTTATCTTTTTGATGTCTGTAGCAGGCCTTTGGAGTTTCTCTATCAACTTCAAAGTGATCGGAAACTCTGGCTGTCCCCATAGGAAAAACTAGGGACACTCTGAGCTTCACCTTCTTAACATACAATGCGTCTAGATCTTTAACCCTTTGTTAGGACAGACAGTGTTCAAATGTAGTTTACAACTGATAATGAGATCTGCCAGCACAGTACAGACAGTTATTTATGGTAGCATTAAAGCGGACCTTTACCGCCCTTCACTTAAAATTACAGCAACATGCAGCTCTACATGCTGATTTAAAATCTTCTTACATTCATTAAACAAACGTGTTTTTATTTTTTTTATAAATGGGGTTCATCTACTTCCTGGTCCAGTTCTGGCACAAATTATGTAATGTGCCCAAGCATTGCATCCTGGGAAGGTTATATCAGCAGAGCATTGCTGGGAAATCTCATCTGTGATCTCAGGGAAAGGCATTTTCCTCCCTTGAGATGATGTGCATGGTCACATGTCTAGCCACATGTGCTAGATTTTCATGAAGTAAGAGCTAGTAATCTGCCCTTAGTCAACATGGCCACTGTCAGAAGAAAAGAGAAATAAGGTGTGTAAAGAATACAAAGCCCACAAGTATCTAGAAGTATGTGTTTGTAGATTGTCATTACTAAACATGTCTAAAGTTGTGTTTGTTGTTGTTTTAAAGATCTAGGTAAAGTTCCTCTTAAGTCTGCCCAGCCCCCCTTGCATTCCAGGAAAATTGAGCGCAGAGAACTTTTCAAGCAATATGCAAACGGCAATGTTTTGATGTTATGCAATGCGAACGGGAACATATAAAATTTGGCTACAAAAGTTGGAATATGCTTTAAGAAAAATGTGTCTGTTCAGATAAAAATTGTGTTTCCTGTAGAAGGTGGAACCAATCATCTCTCAGGTTGCTGTCCTGGAAGATTCCTAGAAATACCGTTACCGGTAAGTCTAACGGAACATTTTTTCTTAGTAGGTGGTGGGGTACTCTCACTTCCTGTCAATCACACATTGATTGAGGAATCTCCTGCGGTTTCCTTTTCCTTTCAGTTCATCAAGAATCTGCTGAAATTGGAAGCGTGTATACCCGGCTTCAGGGAAACTCCAAGAGCAGCACAAAATACATATATAATAATGCTATGGACTAATCCATCCAGCACCTGACCCTGTATGCCACTGATGGGGGACACGCCCACATTATAGCCCATACAATAGAAAAAGCCATCACCTCATAATGAGCCTTAGTTGTTACTTCATACTTCTGTCTATGGCCCTGTTGCAGATTGTTTTCATTAATTCCAGTCTAAACCATTTACAATTCCAGTAAAACCATTGTCAGCAGGACAAGAAGTGAGGGAAATCCCTTCAACAGAGCAGAAAGAAAACATATAGGGGTTCTAGTTCTTCCCCACTTTATCCAAAACTAGAAATCTTGGCTTGACATACACTTTAAAAGCCCCTGAACCTAAATGAAAAGGGATCTTTTATATAACAGTTTAGGCAACACTCCCTAAAAAAAGAAGATTCAGGATTCTGAAATAAAAGGGCTGGATGTTTTTTTTTAAATGAAGTTACAGTTTCAGAAAAAGAAAACTGCTGTGCACTGGGGCATATTTACTTAGGGGCTTACATGGGCAGCTCATAAAAAATATGCAGCTTTCTATAAGTATGCATTAACATTTCAAAAGCGGTTAGTGCATGAGAGAAAACACATAAAGATGACAATTTCTGGTGATTTCTAACCTGAAATAGTGGGAACTGGCCTGTGCCACCCCTTTGTAGATTTCTTGGGAGAATGCAGGAGGCAGAGGTACTCTTGGGCTGTTGGGTCTCTACAGTACATGTAGGATGTAATACTACCATTATAATACATGTTGGGATAATGCACTTTATATGTGTATTGTGTTCCAATGTTAATTGCACCCCAGCACACATGTAGAGTGCACTCTTGCACCTTCAATGCACTGATACATATGCCCTGTGTGTGTTGGCACACTGCTGACGCTGTCTAAAAGGAAGTTAGGGATAGTGTGTCCAAGGAGGGTGGGGCAGTACACACAGCTATTGTGCTGTATGCTTTATGAAAGCAGAGAGAATCATTACAGAAAGGATTAAAGACATTACAGGCCTTTTACTTTTAAGCCAGGCCTTTTAACACTCACAATGGCTGTAAGGATGGATACTCCCTTCTGTAGAACCCTGTTCTACAATTTTCACAGTCCTATTAATAATTAACAGATTCTGTATACAGGATGTGTGCTTGCTTGTGCTATGCCAACTATCCATATCATAAAGTGCAACTCAAGCTAAAACGTAGAACGCCTTCAGGTTTTTATTGCTGGCTGTGTCCCTATTAAGGTGATTCCTCCCCCTACATATGTCCTGGTAACCGTTATCACTGAAAGTGAAAAGAAATTCCCAAGTTTGGAAATAGATGGGATATCTTTCTGGTGACCCGGCTGACCACCAAGGATTTCTGTCATCTTGGAGCGATTTTCTCTCCCTTCATACCGCGGCTATGGAACAGGAAGTGAAGGGAAATCTGCCCAATTGGACAAAGATGGCAAAAAAAGCTGACTGGTTATAACTCTCATTTTATCTATACATATAAAAAAATGCAGTTCAATTCTACTTTAAATTAACATTATACATCAGTGGGGTAGATTCAGTTCTATCCAACCGATGCTGGCGACGTACACTGTACGTCGTCAGTCACGAAGGGGTTAAAAGAAAACCTGCCATGGGAGAAACATGGAGTCTACCATTTCTGTCATATTGACCAAGTTGCTTCAATACTTTGAGTGACAGTCCTGGAACAAGTATGCAGATAAGGGTTTCTGACTTGCCAGACCTACCTACTTGTTTCAAGCCAATGACTTGCAAAGTATGAAAAAAGCCAATTAGCCAACAGAACATCCAAGCACTTCTCAATGTCTAAAGCAAGGCCGCATATGGCAGCCCCCATATATTGCTCAGGTGTACTTGAAACTCCTTTTGCTTTGCCTGTGAAAAGGACAATAGTCTGAACAACAGAGTATTTAATTATGAGTACTGATGTGTGTACTTATACAAATATTGTTTGATACTAGCTCAAGTATCCCGCTCCTTTCATGTCCCGGTTGTATTAGAGGTAACAGGGTATGAGTGTATTGGGCATGATGGTAGTCTTGGAATGGATCCACAAAAATATTCTGTGGGTCAAAATAGCAATAGAAGCTGAAGGTAATACCTTTTGAAAAGTCAAACGACTGCATATACTCTAAATGACTTTTCTACTTT